AAAACCCTAGCTATGACTCTGATTTCAACCATTCTTAATTAATATATATAAATACCAAAAGTTGTTGTTCAAACAATTTAAACTGCATTAGAAATATTTAAAAAAAAACTGCTTTAAAATTAGATATGCAAAGAATTTTTATTTTACATTATTTCCATGAATGAATACTAGTGCTGGCATCTGTTATACATTTAGGGAACTAAAAGGCATAACTGTATTTATTTTAAATGGAATTTTGCAGCTTTCATCTGGGAGATAAAAACTGATAAAAAAGGTGGGATGCCTGGCATCCCATTGCCTGTCAAAGGGTTAAATTCTGTATAATATTAATGTGTATATATATTGTAATGTATATTTTAATTTCAATTTGCTTTCCTATCAATTGTTTCCACTTACAACTCCCTACCAGAAGGAGCTTTTAGAAATTTTTTTAGTAGTATTTAACCCTCTGAGCGGCTCGGGTTTTTGGATCTTTATTAGCTAAATTTGTATATTTACATAACTTAGGTTCTATTTTTATAAACTTCCATTTATTAAGATGACATTTATATTTTTAAAGAAAGAAAGCAAAATAATATTGTAAATTATAAGCTATTATATACCAAGTGACAAAAAATCTCATGACCGGATATAGCAGGCCATGCCACTCAGATGGTTAAAGAAGGTTCAACTTACGTCGCCAGAGAGAGCTAGTAATCTTGAGTAGCACATGTTTGCCTTGTGGCTAAGTCTTTCTTGAAGCTGTTATGTTCGGCCGTATATTACGTGCCTTTTGATATTCACCAGCTAGTTTAAATTAAGGGCCAACTATGTTAGACTTGATGGCCAACTTATGTTTAGCTTCGGCTTTAGTTAATTATAGTGTAATTCTTATTTCTTAATGGCATGTCATTTCAGAAAAAGTCTGATTTTGTGTCAAAATACCTATATTAGAACAATGCTAAATATAAATCTATTACATATCCTAAGTCATGCTATCGAGACATGATAAACGCAATTTGAATTTCGTCAGTCCGCGCAGTAGAACAGGAGATGTAGAACTGTCCTATTCCCCCCCCTTCCACAGTGTATAGCAACTATGTATGTATTTTGATGTAAAATGAATCTGAAAATGTTACTATGTTAAATGTGTAAAACTTTAAGTAAATTATATATGATGAATGTAAAAGTACTTTAAAGTTTAAACTTTGTTTAAATGAAATATTTGAAAGAAAATTAATAGAATGAATGTGTTAAAGCTAGGCAGTTATTCGAAAGCTTAAGTATAGTACACTAGGTGTTGTCAATTTTAGGTCTAGGTTCTTCTTCTTTTTTCTTTCTTTTTTTTTCTCCAGGAAGTTGGCTAGATGGTAGTGTTGTTCATCTTAACATAACAAATTTCTCGAGAGCGTTGGGGGAATGGGTTAGAAGTATGAGTCAATGAAATCTGATTGAGGGCCAAATAAATGTAATAAAATGTTAATTGGAAAATTTTTCTCTGTCTAGAGTACTAATACTTTTTCCTTCCAGATATATTGGAAGGACGAGATAAATTATCATCTCGATTCAACCTAGTGAAGATGATGTATGTAGCCTGAAGCTAGCAAAATTGTAATATTTTTATTTGTTTTAGGTGTAGATCACATTGTAAATTTGTAAATAAAAAAGAAAGTTAAAACTTCGATTTTCAGTAGTGTAACTAAGTTGAGAAATCAAAAGTTTTAGAATCTAAAACTCTCAGCAAGGTCATTGTGAGACCTTTTCATTAAAGTACTTAAATTCTGGTGGGGAAAACGTAAGGTATATATTAATTTTATAACAGTTATTTTAATTTCTGTGTGCTTTCCTATCGATTCTTGTTTCCACTTACAACTCTCTACTAGAATGAACTGTTAGAATCACATTGAATGTAAATGAGTTAGAAGTAGTATTTAAGGAAGTTTCAACTTACTTCGGCAGAGAGCTAAGAATCCTCAGTAGCTCGTTTGCCTTCAGGCTAAGTCTCTCTTGAAGCTGTTACGCTCGGCCATATATTACATGCCTTTTGATATTCCCCGGCTAGTTTAAATTAAGGGCCAACTACATTAGAGCTTGTGTTTAGCTTCAGCTATGTCTCTCTTAGCTTAATTATAGTTCTTATTTCTTATTAAGCCCAAGTGGAGACTTTGTTGTAAGCCCGAGAAAGGGGCCAATTGTACATCTTATTTTGAGTGAAATAAAGGGTAGTTAACCCTTCTTGAGTCTATGTCTTTAGTTATTTGAACTTGGCGATAAGTCGCTTAACAGTTCAATTGGTTCCTCGACATTTCATTTAGCGAAAAAGAGTCAGGAAAACCCTACAATATATAAAGAGAGGGGAGGGAGTTGAAATTCTTTTATTATTAAATAGTTCATTATGATCTTCATTTGATACTTGTTTATTAGCCAGACATAGAATGATAAATGACAGTTTATTCTCTTGTGACTGTCATATTGGAGAGAAATCAAAGTCTCAAATCAGAAAAAAACTATTTATTACATCAACACGTGTCACCAAAAAGTATTTATGTGGCAACCCATGATGTAGTCAAAATGTATTTCTGTCGCAGCTGACGTATGTGCATAATGCATATGTTTTTGAGTATATGTGGATTTAGTGGTCATTTGTCGGATTAGTGTTTTCTTTGATTGAGTGCATTTGCTTTTATCAGAACAAATCATACTAGCGCTGTGAAACGTACCCTCTTTTACATTCATAACTTTAGAGTTTACATCAGTTGTTCTTGGAGGATTATGATCATGATTGTTGTGTGATGCCAAGTTTGTCCAATTCTACAACTGGTTTATTATTATTGGAAAGATCACTATCTACATAGGAAGAACAAACAAACAAAGAAAAAAAAATGAATTAAAAAAATTTGCACTAGATGCATCCTTGAAATATATGTAAAGATACTTAAACAAACCTTCATCCTCCAGAGTTGACAAACGAGTTTGCAATTTTTCCATAGGCTTTTCCATTTCCAACTTCCGGCTCCAGATAACCATAAAGTATCAAAAGGATAATTTGGAGAGGCATTTTTTAACTTTACATAACAAATATCAGACAGATTATCCTCAAAATAGTGACTTGAGGAAAAATAAAATTAGGGATCTAAAGTCCGGGTCAAGTGCTTAACAAAATGTTTTTATACAACCCATGTTGAATCAAGTGCAATTGCAGCATTCAAAGTAAATTGTATTTTAGAAGAAAAATGTAAACCATTTTCTGATGAGGAATTTATAAAAGAATTTTTCTTGGATATGTCCTAATCACTTTTTATGATTTTTACAGGTTTGCCACGCTACCGGAAAAAGTGCGGCAATTCGAAAATTTACCAAAAAAGTCGGGGTATTTAAATAGTTTAGTCAAAATCTGGAAAAGTAAGGGAATTTTATGCAGCACTCCCCCCAAAAAGTGAATATTGTGCCAACTTTGAAAGCGATCACTTTCTTGGTGAATTATGTATCACATATGCATCATTCAGGCAGCTGGCGTAGAGCCATTTTTCGCAGCTCCGTCTTTTAGAAAAGCAAAGCAAGTGTCCAGTAACCTACAGAATCGAGATATTCGCATGCGAGTGCATGTTTAACTAGAGAACATACCTTCCCATTCTCATATAAAACAAAATCGTTTTAATCCTAATATACGGTTCTATGGAGGTTAGGATAGATTCCATGTACGGTACACACGGGATTTAGTGACATTATGATGATCAGTAAACAAGTCATTTTGGTGTTGGCGACAATTTTCAAAATCATATCAAGGCTGTAGCATATACTAGGATTTTACCACAAGATCTTTTAAACCTTTTTTCTTTTCAATAAATGCATTATTTGTCATTTTGCAGTAAAATAAAAAAGTAGTAGTCAGTCATCTAGGCTAACCATTTAACATAACTATATTCGCCTAAATCCTGTTGATTATTGTAATTTAATTTTTTAAGTAATTAACTTTATTTTAATGCTATTCATATCATTTAAAGTTGCTTCTTTCCTCTAAATTTATTTATTATTTGTTAATAATACTTTCAAATTTCAGTTTTCTCTGGCATAATCCTGAAACTAATTCTAGCAGTATGATGACATACTATCTTGAAATTTAATGCACATATTTTTGGTTATGTATGTTACTAAATAAATATAAAATACCTGAATTTATTTCAAATATCATTAAAAAGATTTCTTTCGTTCATTTTTTAATCCAGATTGGGCATGTTCTAATTGCAGTCTTCAGTTTTGATAGTAACAACTATTATAATAGTAATGCTTTGGGGATTATATTCAAATACATATAAGTCATATATAATTGGCAAATTTTTGTGTTTTCAAGTGGTACAATAATTAATTTACTTCTCAGCACAGCCAACGTGCACTACAAGGATAGACTGGAATTTTCTTAAAACACACCTAAAAAACCTGGAAAAGTCAAGGAATTTCATTCTGCTGTTTGAGTGGCAACCCTGTTTTAAGAAGATTGAAATTAATGCTGTAATTAAAGATCTACAAATGTTTCAAAATAATGTGATGCAGTGGATTTAGAAAATGATTGAAATCCTAAGAGAATAGTTATATAACAACATTAATAGGTATTCTTGTTATTCCTTTCAGCATGATGAATTGAGAGATACAAGTGGCACAAAACAATTGCTTAGTTTTAGTCTAAGCAATTGTTTTGTGCCATTTTATATAATTTACATCGGTTTTATTACATTTTATATAATTTACATCCATTTTATATAATTACATTATACGGTTTTATATAATTTACATCTAAAGAAGAATTGCTTAGTATGATTTCTTTAAAAGAAAGATTAGAAGTATAGATATAACCAATTCTTTTATAAACTTCCTCACTGATCACTACTCACACTTCAAATTAACAATGAATTCATGACTTATCAATAAGGGCATAGATAATCAGAAATCACGCACACATATATATACATATAATACACAATATTAATTTTAAATCATAAATGTTTTTCTTTTCTTTTTTAAAGGTTTTCATCCAAGTACTTATTTCATAGTATTATAATTGCAAGCTATGGAAAATTATTTATGTTACCAGTTCTTGTATGGAGCAAAGATGACTACTACTGTGAAACTTTAATTATATTGTTCATATTTCTTTCACAGATGCAAGTAATTCGAGGTAAATCTCAGTTTCTAATATTAATAAGCTAGTCAAATATTTGTTTCTTTGTATTTTTTCAAATACTTTGAAAAGTAATTCTGTTGTGTATATTTAGAATACTGATTTCAAAAACGGTGTTTGTCTGTTCAATATTAGTGTTAGTTTCGGAAGCATTCAATATTAGTGTTAGTTTCGGAAGCAATACCTACCTTTGATTCTATTATGTATAATGAAACACAATAAATAATTTATAAAACTCTACAACAAATTTTCAAAAAAGTTTTTTATATAATGCCAACAAACTAAGGTCAGTACAGGATACTTAGTTTTGTTCTGAAAAGGAAATTCTATTTTGCTCTTGCTCTCTTGAAATAAATAAACTGAGAGATAGAGCTTGCATTTTGTGAAATTTGACCGCAGTTAAAAATGAGCTGATGACAAAAGTGTGTTTTGCTGTAAGTACTAAGCTGGCACTATTATCTTTCTACTGAAAACTGGTGCATAACTTTTCTGTTACTGAAAATAGCTGAGCTTCCTTTGCGAAAATGTACCATAGTGGGAAGAAAAAAATATAAGAAACTTTTGCTGAGTTAATTCCTTGAACTGAGGACAGAAAGCTAACTTGAAAAGCAATTTTTAATGTTCCCAGATATAACAGTTTACAAAAGATTCACAGTTCGTAAATTTACTGAATATGATTAAGTCTCATTATCCTCATTCGTTTTAGTTTTTAAGAATCTAGGTAAATGCAAGAGGAATATTCTCAATTAATAAAGAGTTTTTTTATTCAATTTTGATTAACTTGGTTGTAATATGAATATCAAAGTGTATTACCTACCCAGTAATTTAGATAGTTTTTAAAACTATTTAAACAAGAACCTTATCACTTCTATCGACGAACGCGGCTAAGCGGGAGGCTTCCGAGAAATGTTTTGTCTAACTAGGCGAAACGTTTCCGAAAATGTTCCGTCTGGAGATGTGTTCTGCGTACATTCAACCAATCAGATGAAAGTTCTGAAGGATCACGGGTAATTTTCAATATGGCGATGGCTCCCATTGTGAAATCATAGATGGTGGAAATGGATGCCGATTTAATTGAAGAAATATGGAAAAAGAAATATATATATTGCTGTTTTGTTGAAGTAACTGTCTAAGTGATTTTTTAAATGTTTATATATTCATTAAATCTATAATCATGGAAATTTCAGAGTAGACAATATTTTATATTATGCTATTTCTGATGATTTGTTTACAAATTATTCGTCGCCAAGTTTGTCGTATTTCGGGCTGATCGTGTGAAAAGAATGTTATTGTTATAATAGAATTTTTGAAGTTTAAGGGGAATAATTTTTTAAAAATATGTTTGTGTATGCACGACTTTACTTTTCTGCTAATTACTTTTACGACTTTTAAATTAAGATTGCATAATCAGTGATTATGTATATTTATTAAAATAGATTATTTAATAATTATTTCATAATTAAATTTGTATGTTATTAATGAAATGCTTTTTAGATTAGAAATACATTAAGAACTATATTTTTATTATAAATGCTACATATTGAAACATTGGAAATTTATGGATTTATTATGATGAAAAACATTTGTATACATTCATTAATAAAAAGCTTATTAATTACATTAATGCTAATAAATATACATCGACAATTTCTAAACCATTGCATCTCTCTCGTTATGTATGGGTAAATATTAGATGTGTATATATATGTATGAATTGAATCATCACAAAACAAATATCAGTAAATGCCATTCATTATATCATGTACATAAAAGTTATTAGTATATGGATACAAAAAGAACTATTTACAATAATAAAATCAAATATATACAACAGACCTTTACAAAGAATAGGACTTCTCTTTGCACTTTTTTCTCCTTAACTTTTAGAATCGCCAGAGTCAAGATAAAAGTGATTTACTTAATAGCCAGCTACTTTCTATTATTTTTCATAACAATAAAGTTTAAAATGAAAAGAGTGTGAGCGATACAAAATACAACACGGAAAAGCAATTGTCACTTGAAAGGAAAAGTCACTTTCGCCAATCTGAGCGATACCTGTGTCTTGTTTGGCTTTCAGTCTGTTTACCCAGTGAAGATGGTAACCCGATTTTGCGAAAGCTCACTTCCACGAATTGTTCCTTCTAACGCTATGTTCCAGCAACAAATATCATATGTGATAGCAGTTTAAGATTTTACCAGGACATTACAATTACAGAAAATGGGTATCAAGAGAATTTGGTAAATCTTACTCTAACAAGTATTATAAAAGATGATTTTTTATATGCTGAATAACTGATAATTATTACATCAAGCTGAATTTAAAAGAACATTAGATTTATTATTAAAAATTTAATTTTAGCAATATGATTATTTTATGTGCTAGGGATATGTAAAAATCATAGATTTTAAAAAGTGTAGACTATGATAAACATTAAAATTTTATTTCTTGAATTTTAATATAAAATTTTATAATACAGGCTTCTTTTAATATTAATTACATCAGTATTCATTATCTTTATGTATGCAAATTCGATTCATCTGATATATAGATGGTTGGCTATCCTGTATCTGTAATTCTATAGATTAGCAGTTTCAATAATGTGATGTCTTAGCCAGGAAGGAGTTCATGAAAAATTGTCAGTAATGGAAAAGAATAACAAATGCTGATAAAAAATAAAAATATTCAAAAAATTTAAATCTGCCATTTGATAAAAGGAAAAGCAATTTTGACCAATACCAATATGACTGCTATTGACTGAAATATCTATAAAAGGAATGTAATAAGTTCTAATTAGCCCTGCCTACACATATCATATTATTAAACTCATATGTAGCCACTGCCTTCCCTGCTGTGTTACTGCATAGCACATACAGCAGTTAGCAGCTAACTGTCATTTGCATACTGTTGTACTATCATGTATATGCATACAAGTTGATTATGTAGCTCCCATTCTTTAAATTCTGGTTTGCAACTACTTTAAGTATGAAGTTTTGTTTTAAATTTGTGTACTTTTTAAAGTACAGTAGACACCCATTATGCGCGGAGCAGATTATCGGCGCCTGCCGTACAAAGTTTTTTTTTTTACATGCGTGAAGCAAAGAAAACAAAAATGTTCACAAAACTGAGCGAAATGTTAAATTGGCTAAACATCATGCTTATTTATGGCAAAAATATCCCAGGCCTTCTCGGAATACTCACCTTTGCAGTGCCTGCTCCACCGCCCTATCTCGTCTTAATCTTACTGACACGTCCACTTCCTCCCACTCGCCATTGTTAGTTTAAGCCTGATAGTATTTGCGAACCAGTCGGAGTTAATTTCTTATCTTTTATTGTGGTCAGTGCTTGTGCTTTTTGGTTTTGTGTTTTTCGTTACCCGATTTAAAATGTCAGGAAAATGAAAGAAGGTTGTGTTGACGATTGCGCAAAAACTAGAATTAATTTCCAAAGTAGCAAACGGCGCTACAAGGCAGCAGATGGAATTGGATTACGGAATTGCGGAAACAACAGTGCGTGATATTCTAAAGCAAAAAGGCAAACTGGTGAACTTTGCATCAATGTCGGACAGTGCTTTCGCAATGAAAATGTGAAAAACTATGAAGGGTTCTGGCTCGTTTTAAACAGAGACATGGAATTCGAGAAATTATACTTCATGGGGAGAAACTTAGTGGTGACCAACAAGCAGCCGATGATTTCCACCATGAATTTGAGGAATTTGTTTTAAAAGAAGAGCTATTTTTTGAACAAATTTACAATGCCAACGAATCGGGACTTTTGTAAAAATATCTTCCCACTCGCACTTTAGCATCTGAAAGTGAAAGTAAAGCGGCGGGTCATAAAAGAAGCAAGGAAAGGATCACTATCATGTCTTGCAGTAACGCTACCGGTGGACACTTGTTGTCATTGGAAAGTTTAAAAAAAAAAAAAAAAAATAAGATATTTCAAAGGCACAAGGATAGAAATTTTGCCCATTGATCACTTTAACCAAAAAAAAATGGGATGGATGAACCGACGCATTTTTCAAGATGGTTCGAAAAAATCCTCGTCCTTCAAGTGCGTAAACATCTTAAATCGAAAAACCTGCCTGAAAAAGCTGTGCTATTGATCGAAAATGCACCTTCTCACCCAGCAACAAGCGTGCTAAAGTCTTCTGATGGATAAATTTTTGCAACGTTTCTCCCCTCCAAACGTTACTGTACTAATCCAACCCATGGACCAAGGAGTCATTGCAACAATGAAGAGAACATACCGAACCAAGCTGCTAATGACCAAAATTGAAGAAGGTTATGATCCGAAAGAGTTTGGGAAACACTACACAATCTTGGACAGCATCTACGATATTGCATCTGCTTGGGACTCAATGAAACCGTCAACCCTCATAAATCATGGAGAAAACTCATGCCTAATGTTGAAGCCAACAACAACCGAACCCCTTTGTGTTGTGAAGAAGAGAATGAAGATGTAGACGTGCCCATGGCAACTCTTGCCGATATGGTGAAAACAGTTGCGGGTGGTGAGAACATCGATACTGAAAACATTAACAAGTGGTTGGAGCGTGACGTCAACGAACCTGGCTTCGAACACTTGACGGATGACAAAATTATGAAGAAAGAGACCGAGAGTGAAGTGAAGGCGAAGAAGAGCCCACTGTGCAGATGCGGAAGATTCACGAAGCGGCTTTGCAACAAGTCGACGGACTGCTGAGCTGGGAAGAACAAGACGACGCGAAGTTGGCCGAGAAACTTATGCTAGGAAAAATGCAATCCCGGATCAAGAGGAAATGCTTCCAAAGCAAGAAGCAAACACAAATGACTGATTTCTTCTAAAAGATGTAGTTTTACAGTTATGCTCTTGTAATTACATAATACATTACGGTATTAAAACAGTAAATATGTTTTAATTTTTCTGTGTATCCTTGACGCCTCTCGTAAGTACAAAGCACTTTTCTGTTTTCATTAACAAAATGCATTTTAGGTTAGTTTTGAGTGATATACGAGGT